AAATTTTATTAATTATTGTTCACCATATAATACTCAATTATTTTTTTATTATAAAATTTACAGTCATATAATGTAATTATTATTATTTATAAAAGTTATAGAAGTAGTCTTCTTTATGTAATGAAATTCAGAATAAAATTTTGAGTATAAATGTTTACAAAATACACACACATGTTTTTTTAGAATTCAATTTTCTCATAATAATTTTTTTTTTTTAAAAAAATGATTTAGCAATTGCCAAAAAATAAATCCCTTACATAATCAAGAGTTTTTTTCTAATTTGCATCCAAAGGCTTTATAGTTTATTTAACATACTATGCAATAGAAAAATATTTTACAATATGTTCATTTTTTAAACATAACAAAAAAAAAAAGTGATAAAAACACTATCATAATTGACAATAATATACAAATAAATAACATGTCGAAATTTTAAAGAATAACAATAATTTTATTATCTAAACCATCAATAAAATCATTTAATGATGTGATCATTATCTTTTAAATAATAAATAATATTAATTTTTTGAAAAAAATATTAGTGTTATATAATTAAATAAAAGTTAAAAAAATATTACTCGACAAATATTAATTATAATGGATATCAGTAAAATCATTGCATAAATTATTTAAGGAAAAAATCTTGAAGATCATATTTGGATAGTAAATGTAAATATTCAAGCATTTAATGCATATAGTAAAAAATTTCCAAATAAAGTATGTATTAAATGTGTGTTGACTTTTCTTGCTACTGTTTTTGGTAAATATGTTGGCTTTTATAATTTAAAGTTGTATTTTTCTCAATGAAAAAAAAAAAAGAAAACTAGAAATAAAACTTGCCCCACTTTCGAATTTTCCCGCAAAAACCCCTCCGTAAGAAAGAAACCCTAATCCCCGATTTGAATTCACAATCACACACACCCAACAAATTTCTCTCCGTCTGTTGCAACTTGCAACAAAAGCTCCGGCCATGCGTGGGTTCCGATTGTTCCGCCTCCGCAAAGCCCTCCACACCTCCTCCGTCCAAAACCCTAACCCCATCCCCTTCGCCACCTGCTGCGAATCCCGCAACTGGCCCCAGCAGCCGAGGAATCTCCACTCCACTCCTCAGCGCCGGTTCCCCTCCTCCGCCGCCACGGACAATGAAACCACCGCGCCTAGCTGGTCGGCTTTCCCGAACTTGCCACGGCCGCCGCCGCCTGACCCGACTTCCCAGCAAACCCCTGCCGTTGAAACCGTCTACGACCCCACTGCCGGCTGTGTGGTCACCACGACAGAATCCAGCGGCGGCGCCGGCATGGAAGTCGAACCCGGCGGTTCGGAAGGAGAAGACACAGCACCGAGTCTCGAGGCGAGCAGTCGAGTATACCGTGATGTCATTGGCAGCAGCAGCGTTAGCGGCAGCGTGAGGAAGAAGGGGAAGATGAAGAGCGTCTTTGTCTGTGTAGATTGTGGGTACTCAGATGGAAAGTGGTGGGGAATGTGCAGGGAGTGCGGGGAGGCGGGTACCATGAAAAGGTTCGCAGTTGAGAGCGCCCAAGTGGAGAGCGCCCAGGAGAAGAAAGGGTGTGGGACTCGTTTACCGGAAGATCTGGAAAGGTCATGGCTGCCAAAAGAGGCGACTCCTGTTCGGTTGTCTGATGTGTCTAATCAGATTGATGAGTCAAATTGGCGATTTCCTTTGTGAGTTGAGATGCTTCTTCTTTTTCTTTTTATACTTACTCTTGATGTTGATGTTATTTTTGTGTAATTGCACATTGGGTGGATTTTCCATATTCATTGAATGTGTGTTGATCACTATTAAGTGGCCATTGCTTTATTTTACATCGATTAGGTAACATATATTGATATAGTTGTTTAGGGGCTTACTAGGTCTTGTCTCTTTTTTTTTTTTTTTTTTGTTTTGTTTTGTGAATAGACGTGGAGAATTTGGAGCTGAGGTAGAGAGGGTTCTCGGTGGCGGTTTAGTCCCAGGTATTCCATTTTCGTTTCCAATAATTGCGTTATGTCTGATTATACTTGAAGGTTGATTCATTAAGCTTATATGCTCATACAGTTCTTGTATAATCATTAAATATGTTTTAATTAATTTCAAGTAGTACACCTTCCATATATTAGGGTGATAATTTCTAACATTCTGTACTTTGGTGTATTTTGAGAATTTGACAGTTATTTGTCACAGGTTCTTTGGTGTTAGTGGGTGGAGATCCTGGGGTGGGTAAAAGCACGCTATTGTTGCAGGTAGCAATATTGTTCATGTTGCTGATGCTTGTATAATCATAATACTATTCTATGATACTTAGTAATACCCTTTGGTATATATTTAACATCTCATTTTACTTCTGAGTGGCAGATTGCTGCATTGATAGGAGAAGGGGATAATGAAGATGTTCCATCTCGAGTTTTATATGTATCTGGGGAAGAGGTATTTCTGTTGATGTGGTAGATGTTGCTTACATGCTTGTATAACTTGGAAACTTCAATTTTTGTGTCTCTAGAGGTTTGCCTACACGCTTCCCAATATTTTATCTGGTGCGGAGTTATTATTTTCTTATTTAGCTTTATCTTAGCAACTTGCATGTTATTTTCCCATGCTTTGTCCATGATATGAGATGATGTGCACAAAATAACGGCTCATCAAGATTTCGGGTTGAACCGCCTCGTCTCAATTGCTTTGAACCATGAACCGGATCAACCTGCAAAACAGCGTCGGGGGCAGTCCTTGATGTAGACACTCCGACGCTCATGTTAGTTTATAAGGGATTTAGTGACCTTGCTCCACAAGAAAAGGGGTTTCCCTAATAACCGAAGAGTCTATCCTTCATAATCAATGCGTTGATAGATATACACAAATTTACTTGAATATCTTTTTAGGAATGTTTCCTAAACCTTCATAGGTATTTAAACTAATACCATATATCAATAAACCGTAGAGCCCAAGTATAACCACACTAATATGATAGAACTACATCATAAGATACCAAAATCTGTAGCTTTCTCTATTAACTATTTTTTTTTTTCTTGGCAGAGCGTTGAGCAAATTGCAAATAGAGCCGACCGTCTGCAAATCCAAACAGAAGGACTTTTTCTGCATTCAAATACAGATGTTGAGGTAAATCTAGCGCTTATGTTTTTCCTGAAGATCATGAGTGTCAGTTTCTTCCCCATGAGAAAGAATTGTTCATTACCTATATTTTCTTATGCCACTCTTTCAGTCATGGATAGTTTTCATTAGGACGTGTGTTAAAGTGGCAGCAACATTTTCCTGACCACAGAATGCTGTCTATCGTCCAGACGAGCTCTTACATACAAAATTTTATTGTAATGCCGAAACTCTTTTCACATGCTTTTATAAAAACTTGCAATACAAAACTGGAATAAATTGATATTTATAGTATCTTTGCAAAGGGTGCCGGAACAAGCAGGTGTGCTGTCAACACGATAGGAATAGTCATGAATTTACTGTCTATAAAACTCACTTGATTAGTTTGAAAGATCAAAGATGTGAGCTTAGTAATAAGCAAAAGGGATTAGAAACCCACAAAAACCCAGTTCTGCTTTGGCGGAAAGTTCCGTGAGGAACTCATCTTATCAACTTTAGTTCATTTCGTTCTGCTACAAATGATAGAAAAAAGTAGTTCCTTATATGCCTGGATAATTTAGTGCAATTATAAGAGCCTCAGCTTCCGGCTGGATCATCGAACAACTTGACAGAGAAGTCCTGCTTCCCCTTCTGAGGCGGATATAAGACTTATGAGAGTGTGTGTGTGTATGGACGACTTATTGTTATTATAAGGTTCTAAGTAGTTTCAAATTTTCTTGTCAAGAGATAAGAGGGATTTGTTAACAATGTAGTTTCTTAGTCATAAATTTTGTTGTGCTTTTTCATACATCCTCTCGCTGCTTTTCTTGACAGGATATTCTAGAACAGGCTCAGCCTCTTTCTCCAAAGGCTTTAATCATCGATTCTATTCAGACCGTCTATTTACAGAGAGTGACTGGAAGCGCTGGAGGTTTGACACAGGTTCTGCATTTTCTCAAATTCTAGTTTAACTTCCTAGAAAATCTTTAATAGGTTCACGGACATATAACAGTACATAAGGCAATTATCTTGTAGTACTATGATAAGGAATATTGTTCTTGTTCTGCATTGATCACTATCTGGTTGTTAGTTGTTACATAATCCTTTTTTTTTTTTTTTTT